TTCTTCCTCAGCATTAACATACAAATTTTAGGGAGCAGGGACTGTTGAACTATGTTTGAGTAAAGAGTATATACTTCAAAAATAGTTACATTTTCTCTAACTTGATGAGGTCATATCACCAACCATTTTATCCCTTCAATGGAAACCACGTTCCGTAGACTATTGCTGATAATACATGGGTCACTACCTGCTCAAAAAATATAACATTTCATGATACAAGACTGCCAGTCGTTTTCTGTCTTTACTTCATCTTGACCTTAAGAAGTTCTTCAACCCATTTTATTCAAGCAAAGTACATGACTGTTGGACCTACTAAAATAATATGTCACTGAAATCTGGCATTAAAAATTTTAAGTGGGTATTTGGAGCTCCATGTATGGACTACAGTTTTTTCAATTTGAAATAAATAACCAACATCCTTTGGATATTATAATCTGTTTCCTTTTGACATTTAATTAATCCTGTTTAATGCTAGATGTAAAGTGGTGGTTTGTCAGTGAACTAGACTTTTTGTTTTAGGTTATCAAGAAGTTTGAAGACTATTGTCGTGAAGTTTTTTCTGATGAAGACAGTGAATTTGATAACTAGCCATGTTTTTAAATTTTGTCAGAGACTGTAAGTAGTGCATATTTAATCTTAAAATCTCAGGATTGATGTAAGCACTGGAATATTTTATTTGCAGAAATGTGTACCACAGTTACTTAATTTTTTTCTTGAAACAGCTGTAGGAAGAGTTGGCCCTTAGTTGTCTCTCCAACCTCAGTTATGCTGATGACTGAAGGAACTTGAACCTGTTACATGATACAAGCGTAATTTGAACTACACTAAACCACATGACAATGTTTTGATAATTCTTGTGCAAATCAGTTTATCTTCTCTATCATTTTTCTGTTTGTTAAATGCCAGACCTTGTTTCTATGATCTGTTGAATGAACCCTAGACACTTCTGTGAGAAAGCAGCAATTGCACAGTTACGTACATGGTCAATTAAATTTTAACATTAAAGATCATTTAAATTTCAGTTTGGTCTCTGTGGATCTGTCTCAGTTCCAAATATGCAGAAAGCACAGTCATAGAAAAGTACATTTTTCTCTAATAAAAGAAAACAAAACCTCCACTGGATGCGGTAGCTCATGCCTGTAATCCTAGCACTTTGGGAGGCCGAGGCAGGTGGATCACTAGAGGTCAGGAGTTTGAGACCAGCCTGGACAACATGGTGAAGCCACATCTCTACTAAAAATACAAAAAAAAATTAGCCAGGTGTGGTGGCACGCAACTCTAGTCCCAGCTACTCAGGAGGCTGAGGCGGGAGGATCTCTTGAACCTGGGAGACAGAGGTTGCAGTGAGCCGAGGTTGCAGTGAGC